GAGACAGGGAAAGATGCTCTCTGTAGTTCATCTGTGGCTGCCACAAGCAAGTTGGAAATGGAGCATATTTTCTCCCTTTTGGTAGTATCCTTCCTTCTTTCCCAGGGTGAGTGTGTCTCTCGCACTGCCTTTTGCCCCTTGTCAAAATCTCTCTCTCCCTTCCTCAGTTACAGTTTTAGGGGAACAATAAACTTTCGGGTCTGATTGAATCATTCAGCGATTCAAATGTATGTTACAGGGAGGCAGAAATAAGATGAGGGACAAAAACCCTGCAGGCACACTGTCATTTCAGGGATTAGGCAAAATTATAAGAAAATAGGCATGCTTGTGCGATGTTTAGAAAGAGAAATTCCTCCATTGTACAGAGTTAGGGACATTTTTCTTTCCTATCACAAAACAAATGTGTAAGGCAGTGTTACTGAAAGCATGTTGGAGGATGTTCTTTTTCTTGCATGGGTTTGGAATAAAGCTTGGTAATACTGTGGTTGCCAGAAGCTGGCACTGAGGTCCGCCAGGGTACTGAGATTGTGGTTTGGCCGCTCATTGCAGGATTCAGTTCTGAGATGAAGGTAACCAAGAGAAAAATCAAGAGAATCTCTGTTGAAGAAACTCCATAGTAGCTTCCAGAGGTTTTGGACTATATTCACAGAGCTCAGGCATGCGGAAACAAAAACGCAGAACATTAATCTGTATTTCTTGTTTCATACACTTTTAAATATATTTTGATCCTTTTTCCCACCCTGAGCTGAACTGGGGGAAAAGTGAAGTATGGTAGTCAAATGGAAGAGCTTGAAATAGTCCTACAGCAGCCCCTTCGTTTGGGTTCCTTTTCTTTCAGCACATTATGTGACATATCTACCTCCTGTCTTTATTCACAAGTGAGATGTCAAGCTATTACATGTCGATCAGTCTATCTAAAGATAAATCTGATGGTTTTAAAGAGTTTGGCTTTGATGGGTTTATACACATCGTTAATTATCACTGCTGTAAGCTGTCCCTTTGTTGTCAGTCAAACAGAAAGGCCGGGTGTGAACACAGCATCGCTTGAGGTGTCTTTGCACCATGTGCTGCAGTCAGATTTCAGATATATAAGTGAGGACAGTACAGAGAAGCTTCTTTTGCTCTGTTATGCTGAAGATTTGAGTTGCAGTAACAGTTAACATAGCACCTGTCACAAACACTTGTGTAACAAATGTTACCGCCTTTGCAGAGTAGTGCTAACGCATGTGGCCTATCCCTGCCAGTACGATTTTGTGACCTGTCGTATATTAATGAGAAGAAATCAAGATTTGAACTCAAGATACATAATACAGAAAATCTAACATTTATAATGTTGAGTTTAAATCCAAAGTACAGTACAATTTGGCCTTATATTTGACAACAGTTTGTATTATTGCCAAACCAATATAACATATTGTTGAAATACGATTTTCTGTGCTTAATCATTTGAATGGAAACGCAAGCAAGAAAATTGTCTGATGTGACCCACTATAAGATTCCTGTTACTCTGTCAGTCTGAAATGACTGGCCATGCTTTTTCTGGCTTAAGGGTTATTTAGAACAGCATCTTTTGTCAGGTTCACATTATGTTGTAGGGTTTCAGAGAATTAGTGATTCTGATATTATGTGAGGTATGACAGAAGATTACAAAAGTGACATCTGGGCAACCGGAATCTTTTATTTCTATTTACTTTTATGTCAGACAGGATTTAATGGATGCACTCATTTGGAAATAAGCATAATCTTCCATGCAGTATTAGAACTGTAAATTGAGCTTTTATGAGGAGGAAAGCACAGTGTTTATTAAAACAAATCAGTAGAGATTTCCTGGCATTTGTTTATACTGCTGCTTTCCTGGTGCGTCATAGGATCATTTCAGCATGTCAACATGGCTAAAGGATAGGGCAGTGCAATCGCTGAGGTTCTTTGGGAAGCTTACTCACTTCAATAAAATTTTGCCGTGAAATTCATTTTCACACTTCTGTTAATTCTGTTTTACCTTTGTCAAGACACTTAATTGTGTACTACATTTTGAATGTGAATGGTCCCACTGAAGGCAGTAACTTCATCTTCCTGAATCTTAGGATCTTTATGGAATAGAAGGTGGTTTGAAGATATTTTTCCCCAAAGCTAGGATATTAAAGTGGTTTTTTTATTAGCCTTATACATAAGTTCTTCTGTAGGAAATAAAAATGCAAAAACTTGAAATACTACTGCCAGAAATCCCTGTCAGTGTATTTTTACATGTGACCCAACTGATCTAAGTATGCACGTGATCATCTTGTGGAACAGATCTTCAGCTGACGTAACCTGGGACAAGTTGGTTGAAATCAGTGTAGTTACACCAGTGATGTCCATCCTCTTAAATGTTTGGTATCTTCTACATTGCTTTGAAAAATATGTGGTTGGAAGGTAGTGAACAATGTTTTTTTCTTCTGTTTGTGATATTTGGGAGAGAATGGGATATTCACAAGTATGTATACTATACTATGCAAAAATACTGCATGCTGACATAGGGCCTGTAGTTTTCAGGTTACTGATTTGGGATTAGGCTTTTCCAGCCAAATGTTCACTTTTAATTTATTTTATTGAGCCAGTTTTGTGGTGTAGGCATACTGTTTAACAAACAGAAACCACAAATGGCATAACCTCAGAAATCCTTAGGAATGCTAAAAGCCCGTTCATAACCTTTATTTTTCTGTCTCATACTAAAGCAAAGAGATCTGCGAGGCAAATGAAACCATTATGTGCCCTATGTGTGAACGCAATTGCACGCTACAAAAACTCAATGAAAGCTGCATATATGCCAAGGTAATTATTGTTTTATGGCTATCAAGATAATTTTTGTCTAAAGATCCGCTTTCATTGTGTAATGGCTGCCCTCGTTTCAGCAAAGATTTCTGCAAAACATGTTGTTTTTCTACAGAGGTTTTATTCAGCCTTTGTAATTCATGTTTCTAATAAGGGAATGCTCAGAAATGATCGGGAATTATTCTAAAATTTGTTTTACTTTCTGTGAGCATTTCCTTCCTAAATCCTTACTATTTTCATCAACTAATAAAGTCCCCTGAGTAGTAAAAGTTGGAAGGTCTTTCCTGTTTTCCCCTATAATTAACTTCTTACTGTGTTTCTCTTGCTTACTTTGTAATTGAATTTCTGCTAGTCCTAAAGGAATTCTCTAGCATAATGTGCGTGTGATGTACTTTGCTCTGTCAAACTAATACAAAGATTTTACATAACTAAGTATTTTGCTACAAGAAGCTATCCTTCAAACTTAAATCATCACAAGTACCTCTTTATACGTGCAGTGTTTTCAAGTGAGCAATATAGTTTGATGTGTGCTATGTTCATGATGCTGGAAAAAAAGCCTTGTTCATTTTCTTGGAATTCTTTAGCCCATAAGATAAATCTTGCTCAGAAGCCTGTATTTATAAAATGTGATTGTCTCTGGGCCATGGCATTACAACGATACTGCAGCAATGTGAAAGAGAAAATCAATTTTGTATTAGATGTCGAAATTTCATATCAATAGGACCAGTGTTGAATAAAAATCAACATTTCAAGTATCTGTAAAGGCAAAATGTAAAAACATTTAACATTTATAAAAATTATTTAGATTTTACAAAATTAGTTTTCTGTTTTATAATGCCAAAATTTAAAAAGTGTTTTGCAACAGCAGCAGTAAATACCATTGAAAATTTTGTACCTAAGGCAAAACTTGGGTTTTGGTTTTAAATACTGCTATAACTCAATAGCAGAAAATGGCTCCATGAGATTTTTTTGGTAACTTTTTAATATTAATTTCTCTTTTTTCAAGATATGCACTGAAGTTAAGATCTTTCTTAATTAAAATAACATTATGCAAACCATGCAGCCCATCTCAGAAATGAGATGATGACAAGCCACAAGGCATCCCTTTAACTTCAGGTCCTGTTATTTTAACATCCCCAGTTAATAAGAAGCAGGTTTTCTGTCTTATGACACCGTGTGCTTAAATCATGCAAATTTCACATTTATCACCGTGTGAGTAATTCATTGCAGCAGAAGAAATGTCACAGTCCATCTATGTATTTTCAAACCAGTCCCCTTGAAACAAACTCAGATGACAACCCGGGAAGACAAACAGTAACCACTCGTGTTCCGTCTTTGCAGGCACCCTAGTCTAATGTCTGCAAATAGCACAGAAATTCATGTAAGCTCCCAACTTTTCCTGCCAATGCTTTTTCTCTGAAAAACTGATCAACCTTAGATTGGAACACAGGAAACAACGAAAAATTCTCTCCTTTCAGGATTTGTCTGTTCTGGATCTCCCCCAAGTGGGGGAGGAGAGACTTCTCCTTGGGAAGGAATAGGATTACCATCTGGCCACTTCAGTGGCAAAGTAGAAGGAAAAAGATAAAAAAAGGCTCCATGAGGCTTTTTATAACTCTGAGGTTATAACTGTAGTGCCTTCACTCACCGTATTGTCTCTAAAGAGGAGTTCACTGCAGCTTCACTTGTTACCCTCTTGCTAGGAAGCGTCTGGTTTCCAGCAGGGGTTGTGATCCTGCTGGTTGCCACCGTGTTGCT